GTCCTGCTGGCGTGGGACGACCCCAGCGTGCAGGGCGAGCCGAGGCCCCCTGACGCGAAGCCAGAGCCCACCTTCGACCAGGACCGCGGTCGCGGGGCCAGGGGACCGCTGGCGGCCGCTCCCGCGGCGAGGGTGTCGCCCCCCCCTTCCTCGAAGTCGACGCTGTGGTCATCGACGTCGTCGCCATCGTCGTTGATTCTCGCCGTCGATCCTCCTCCTCCTCCTCCTCATCATCACCATCAGCACCATCACCATCATCATCAGCAGCATCATCATCATCACCAGCACCAGCATCAATCATCATCATCAAGGTCATCATCATCATCATCATCATCATCATCATCATCATCATCATCATCATCATCATCATCATCATCATCATCATCATCATCATCATTACCATCATCATCATCACCCTTGATCCTCGCCGTCGATCCTCGTTTTCTTTGTCGTCGTCGTTGATCCTCAGCGTTGCCGTCGGCCTCGGCCCTCGTCGTCGTCGGCGTCGCGCAGGAAGGCTGTGCAGGAGTAGGTTCTGGATGTGGGCGTATGGGAGGGGGGGAGTGGGAGAGGGAGAGGGCATTTACGGGCCTCGAGCGCCAGGGCCCGTTTCGATCCGATCGATCCGATCCTGTCTCGATCCTGGCCGGCCCGATCCTATTCAATTCCGGCATTCCGACGATGCGATGCGGCTCGATGTGTGCATCATTGGAGTTGTTGTGTATCTCGGCGCAGCCGACCCGACTCGATTCGACCCCGTGCCGATGCCGCCCGATCCGATGCACGTGTCGATTCGATCGGACTTCCGGATTGGATTCGATGCTGACTGTTCCTGCCCTTGGGAACCCCCAAACCGGGTGGTGAGATACCAGGTGGCGACCTGGAATCCCCAAAAAGGTCACCGCTGGGTTTGGGGACGCGGGGTCACCACTGGGTTTCGTGACTCCTGGACCCACCAGTGTCCTGGACATCCTCGGAAAACCGCACGAGTCCCCAAACCGGGTGGTGACACCAAATCGCCCGAGACTCACCGCCAGGTGTTGTCACCACCACGTTTGGGGACTACCAATGCCCACCGAGAGCAGGCGGGGGCGAAAAGCCGCTCCTGGGGACATGCGGTCCGGGGCTGGCGCGGCGGGGAAGTCCCAAGAGGTCGGAGGCCGCTGGGAGGAGCTTCGACCGTGCCCGCTGGAGCGCCCAGCGCGAAGAGGGCGTCAGCAGGGCGCTGCCGATCTGTTCCTCCTCCTCCTCCTCCTCCTCCCCCTTCTCCTCCTGCTCCTCCTCCTCCTCCTCCTTCTCCTCCTCCTCCTCCTCCTCTCCCTCCTGAACGCTTTTTGGAGCCAGCATGTCGACCATGGCCAATTGAGGTTCTTGGAAGGGGGGGCGGCGAGAGGGGGCCACTCTGCGTCCCCATGCCACAACCAACGGGGGGAAGGGGAGGGGGAGGAGGAGGGGGAGGAGGAGGAGGAGGAGGAGGAGGAGGAGGAGGAGGAGGAGGAGGAGGACGAGGAGGGAGGGGGGGGGCGCGCCCGCGAACGGAAACGCGCTTGATCCCGTGTTCGCTCCTCCGTCTTTCCTCCTTGCCATCCCCCTCCTCATGTTCGTGTGTCCTGTCCTGCCCCGACTCCAGGTCCGAGGGCTTGTCCTTGTTGGTGCCCCTGCCTTTGGCCTCATCATCCTGCGCCTACGTATCCTAACCATCTTCATCCTCCCACTCCTCCATTCTCATCTTCCTCCCTCATACATCTCCCACTCGTCATCCTATCCTCATCCGCCTGTCCTTCCCCCGCCCCTCCCCCTTCTCATTCTCATCCATGCCATCCTTCTCTGCCTTCTCCTCATCCGCCTCCACATCCCCCTTCCTCCCTCCATCGTCATGTCCTCACCATCGTCCTCGCCATCCTCCCTTCTGCATTCCGTCATCCGGATCAGCAGGGCTAAGAGTAACAGTAGCAGCATGCTGAGGAGCAGCAGTAGCAGCGGGAGGAGAACCAGCAGGCGGGGGGAGGGGAGGGGGAGGAGAAGGAAGAGCAGGAGGAGGAGGAGGAGGAGGAGGGAGACGACGACGACCGCAGCTGCCCGGCGCGCCGCCCCGCCCCGGTGCGCAGGAGGACGCGCGCTACCAGAGGCGTGGCTGCCCGGCGACCCGCTCCGCCTCCTCTCCGCCCTGACGTTTCGAGACAGTGGGAGATTGCACTTTGCATTGGGTGGTGGGACCTCCGAGGAGAACCTGGGAGGAGGAAGAGGAGGGAGAGGGAGAGGAAGAAGAATACTAAGACTTAGAAGAAGAGTAAGAAGAAGAAGAAGAAGAAGAGAAGGGGAAGCAGAGGGCTTGCGGATGTCTCCTTTCTCCGGCGGTTCCTTGGGGGTTCTGGAAGGGCCTCCGAGTAAGGAAGAGGCGGAGGAAGAGAGCAGGAGAGAGAGGGGGCTTGCGGACGCTCCATGGCTTCGGGTATGTTCTAGAGGTTTCTGAAGGGATCTCCGACGGAGGAGGGAGGACGAGGTTTCGGATTGTCAGGGAAGCGCAGATGCTCGAAAGGGTTCTCCTGACGCTGCCCGGGAGAAGACGAGGAGGAAGGAGGGCGAGGAGGGAGGGGAGGGGAGAGGCAGGGGGAAGAAGACGAGGGGGAAGAAGGCGAGGAGGGAAGACGGCGAGGAGGGAGGGGAAGGATTGTAAGGGAAGTGCAGATGCTTGAAAGGGTTCTCCTGACGCTACCTGGGAGGATGACGAGGGGGAGGAGGCAGGGGAGGCAGGGCAGAGGTAGGAGGGGGGAGGGCGGGAGGCGGAGGAGGAAGAGGGGGGGGGAGGGACTCCTCCTCCTCCTCCTCCTCCTCCTCCTCCTCCTCCTCCTCCCTCCTCCTCCTATTCCTCCTCCTCCTCCTCCTCCTCCTCCTCCTCCTCCTCCTCCTCCTCCTCCTCCTCCTCCTCCTCCTCCTCCTCCTCCTCCTCCTCCTCATCCTCCTCAGAGTGGAAGGGAGAGGGGAGTGAGAGGGGAAACGATGCGGGGGAGCAAGACGCTCGAACAGCGTTACAGCGCAGCTACGCATACAATAGGCACGTCAAGAGAGGAGACGGCCTGCCGGCAGATGCCCCATAAGCGTGGATGTTGACCCAATGGCACCGTAGATTCAGCGGAGTTGTGGGTGTTGCGATGCTGTTTCCGCAAAGTCTGCGAAACCTGTGCCCCAGCATGTCTTACCACAAGACATGTGTACAGTGTGTGTGTGTGTTGTATTCCCATCTCGGTGCTCGAAGGTGGCTCCGTATCTCTGCCTGCCTGCCTGCTTGTCCGTCTCCCCTGTTGGTGGTTAAGGGCGCCGATGATCCACAGACACCGGTCCTGGCCAGGCCGATCCTGGACCGAGGATCGATGGACGCCCATTCCTGGCGAGTCCAGGGGTGGAGCGTACAGGGTCCAGCTTGAATAAGGAACACTTACAGTCGGGGCCCTGAAGAAGGAACCCTTTTGGTTGGGGAGGGGCTCCGCGTTCCTTAAGTGTTTCACAGCTTGCCTCAGGTTTTCCTCATGTTTTCGATAGGAAATCGAATTTTAACGTATGGAAAAAAGGAGCCTCGTTCCTTATTTAGGGTTCCTTAGGTCAACGCCCCGACTGTACTCTTCAAAAGGGGCTCGGTCGTCCTTTTGGCTTGAATGCGTTCCGCCACCTTCTCGGCGGCGAGCCCCCCTGGTGTTCCCTCGGACTTCCTACTACCCTCGTCAAAATTAACCTCAACAGTTGCTGGCACGTCATTTCGATTTCGGCGCGCCCCTCAATGTCGACACGCCGCCCCTTCAATGTCGGGGCGAGGGCAAAGATAGTCTGACCGAAGTTGACTCGAAAGTTTGACGTCGACCGACATTGGAGGGGCGGCGCATGCAAGTACCCCGCATTCATCGATACTCGGCCCCAGATCTTCCGACAAGCAGTTCAACCACGTCAGAAGACATTTTTGAGGTTAATTTTGACGAGGGTTGTAGAATTACTTGGGTGAAAAAGGGCTTCGTTCCTTATTTATCGTTCCTTGGGTCAGGCCGAATACTGTACGTACATCGATCCTGGACCCAGGGCTGTGCTTAAGTCGGGCCTGTCCCTCTACAGGGGGAATATTCAAAAATAGTCAAACAATGATCTGGGGACTATCTTTTTAGTTTTTTGCTGACAATTTGGGAGCATGTTTGGGGTATGTTTTACTTTTCGTCGAAACTCCCCCTGTGGAGGGGGACGCGCCCGACTTGAGGCTGGGCTGGCCAGGACAGGTGCAGCTCCACGCGCGGCGCCCTCCGCGCGCGTGCAGGGGGGGGGGGTCGGGCGGCGGGAGCTCGAGCGCGCGTCGTCGCGCGTCGTGCTGGCAGCGGGGAGAGCAGGAGGGAAAAAAGCACGCACAGGCACGATGAGTCGTCGATTCCCCCGAGCATATAGGGAAAGATGGGGAGTGGGGGGGAGACAAAGCCCCAGTACATGTGGGAAAAAATACAGGGAGTCCTGTGATTTGTGTGCGCATGTATTAGTGTGTCCCAGGCCCCCTTTCGGAAATGCAAGCACCTGGGCCCCGAGATCCGAGATCTGGAACATGGCGGCCCAGCCGTGGCCATCCTCTGATCTCCCTCGCATCGAAGGATTGCAACAAAAAACCAGATTGCAAAAAAAATCGAAGGATTTAAAACAAAACTTGGTTTTGCACAAAAAAATGTTTTTTTTTTTCAATCCTGTTTTTTTTCCAATCCTTTTTGCAATACCCCGATGGGGGCGACGAGCGACCGATCTCGTCGCGTTCACCACCAGGCCGGGGCCGTGGCGGTGCCGCTTGTGCTACGCGAAGCGCTTCCAGACAATGGACTTCGCCCTGGTGCCAGAAGATTCTCCCGAGTGGTGCCCGAAGTGCCAGAAGACTCGCAAGGAGTTGCAACTCTCGCTGCTGCCGCTGCAAGAGGTGTGTTTGCAGCTTAGCTCATCGGACACCGTGTGCATTGAAAAGGTTCTCGCTGAAAGAGTTGCCTCTGGTTGCTGCCATTTTCCTTGGCGGGCCCCGTTCACGACCATTTCCGGTTCGGTGCAATCACGACGTTGATGTAAGAGTCATTTTAGCTTCTAAAGGGGATTTGGTGTTCGGGCCGTTCCTTCGTTCTAGCTTTGGGAACCTATTCGTGGCCGAGGCTTGCCGTGGCCAGAAAAGCGCGTCGGTTCGTTTCTTGCACTCTTAATGGTAGCATGGTGAATGTCTTGTGGCGTGACTCTGGGCAATGTATTGGCTGGCCCGCGTTCCCGACTGCGCCCGATCCTGTCCTGTGTCTTGGCTCACGCCAGGCATGCGGCGTGTATTGTTGCTTAGATGTGATACAACCATGACTGTTCCCATCATGGCTGATGCTGCACGCTTACTGTTCGCTTCTTGCACATGCACATATCTCACCTTCGGATCCTCAAGAACTGATTCGACAGTTGGTTATGCATAGTTTCGAGCGTCTTGGAAACAAGGTGCCACGTTCGTCTGACGTGCGAACGCTGCCTGTTGCCTCCCCGCGCGCAGCGAAAATCTAAGCAGCTGCGGAAGGGCTTTATCGGGGTGCACTATTGGCTTGCATCACGTTTAGATGTGATCTACATCTGGTGCGCTGATGAATGTTCGCATGCGTTTGACACATCTGAGTGGTTAAATCATTTTTGGTTTCATTCATCATAGCCGCAGCAAGTTCGAATCCCCTTGTCGACAAAGGGGTCACCCACCTGTTCTTGTGTGCATCGTTTATTGTGATACTTCACATCACGCCTATGAAAGTTGCGATGCTCTAGGGCGTCGTTCCTGCCAAATTGCGATGTTACGGTGCGGCCTTTCTGCCAGAAAGCGAAAGCGCAGGATACCATCTTTGCACAGAAATCCCACGCATTACATCGGAGGGAACACGACTCGCAGGTAGCATCGCGATACTCAGCACGGCTTTACCCTAGTTCTCTCCGACACCCCCTATCTACCTTGACACATGTGATGCGTGCCTGGCCTGGCAGCAGTGAACACAGCATTTCGAAGTTCTAGTCCCACATCGGCGATGATGCTGGAGGTGGGGTCCGCGTTTTCGGCTCGTCTGGCCACCTCAGAGCTACCTCTGTGGTTGGGCAGCCGGTGCGAGTATACTTGCGGGCGCGAGACCCTCTGGCACTCCCTATCTCATTTGCAGGGCACGACGATCGCATTTGTTCCACAATATGTGCTTGCACTGAGTGGGTTGAGAAAGTTAAATCGAAAATGCCCACGCTGCTGGGAGTTGTCTTGCTTCAACGTTGCCCGGGCACTTCTACCGCCCCTGGTTGACCTGGGAATTAGCTGACTCGGCTTCGCTGGTCCGGCTTGATTGCCGTTTTGGTTCGGCCCGTTGGCCAGGGATTTGCTTGGTTGGGTTTGGTTGGCTCGGCCTGGTTGCCAGGGATTCGCTGGGTTCGGCTTACTTAACGGGAAGTTGCTTGGTTCGGCCTGGATGGTTCTTTCGGATTGCGTGGAATTTGCTTGGTTCGGCCGTGCTGGTCCTTGATGGTTGCCGAGGATTTTCTTGGTCCGGCCTGTCCTAGCCAGTCCTGGCTGTGTCTGCTGCACCTGGCTACAGGGAAGTCGCTCGGCTTGCATGTATCTAGCTGGCCCGAGTGCACAAATCTGGGAATACGTTTGGTTCGTCGTTGTTCTGAGGGATTCGTAATGATTTCTCATTGTACGATGATTCGTTGTTTGTAGTCAGCGCCAGTCCCATAGACCTGCGATTGGACCTCAGGGGGTTGGAGGAGCATCCAAGAAAAACGCCAGCATTTCAGGGAACTCCTGGTTTGATGGCAAGCATCGCCGCCATCATAATACATCGTCGCTTCGTCGTCTCACACCGTCACCGCCCGTAAGAAATCGTGACAACGTCCACTCAGCTTATCCTTGTTCATCCCGCCGCATCCTCGCAAATCGCCATAACAAAAACCCTCACATCGTAGCTGCTTCATCCTCGCGGCCGTCCAGAAACTTGAGTGCGGCCACTTGCCAGCTGCCCCAGCACTGCTGCCGAGTGCCGCTGCAGGGAGTAGGAGGTATGGACAGGGAGGAGGAGGCACTGTTAAACCCACACTGCGGTTTTCATATAGAATGTGGCCGCTGCGCGGCTGCCTCGTATACTGTGGAGACCTATGCCAAGAATCACCCTGCTTGCCTCCAGGGTGCCCTGGGTGTCTTGGATGTCGATGGTTTTGCGATGGAACGCGTGACGCTTCCACGCCAAAAAAACGATGGACGCCCCGGGGTCTCAGGGTTGGGTTTCTCGTGGAAGGTTTCTTGTAGACTGGCCTCCACTGTAGCCTCCCGCATCCACTTCCGATAATTACCTCACATGCGCTCCCACAGCCACTCCACCCCCAAATCGTGATACACAACTTGAGCTGCCCAACGTAGTTTACACCAGCGCTTCACCATCTTACAGACTGCTCAGGATATTGCTTTTTCAAAAACCACTGGTCTCGCTGTGTTCCCTTAGCATTGACATGCCGAGGAGTGCGGATGGTCGTTGTGGATGCCCTGGTCGGATCTGCCGTCCAGATTCCAGGAGCGCACGGTATGCATGTGTTCTCTTGTGGTGCGGAGCATTCGCCGACAGAACGTTTGTTCTGAATGTGTATGGGTTGCAGGGTCGATGTGCAGTGAGTTAGTGAGCCCCCATGTTTCGTCCGAACATTCCAGAAATGATGCAGTGCGTCTTGGTGTGGCGTCTTCTCGTCGTGTCACGTTTGCGGTCTGATGTCACGCGAGTTTTGATACGGGAGTGAAGCAATTGGGTAGAGGCTGTACAAGACGTTTCCACTTGAGTTTGTTCTGGAGGAGCAAGTCCAGTAGTGTGGATTGGGCATGGGCCACGGCAGCTGTGCCAGTCATGCATGATATACATATCGAGTGGTGTCTCGCTGTCTCTAGGGCAGACGTGTGTTCCACGGGAGTGTATGAGGCAACCATTATGGACCGCTACGCGTCCAAGTTTGAGACGATTGTTTGGACCAAGTGGCCCGCTGCTGAGATGGAAGCTGCTGCTGGTCGCCTACCAGATTGCTGATATGGAGTGCGCAAGGTAGCCGACGACTCGCTGCACAGAAAAGTATGATGGGAGTGAATACATACATGGTAGAATGTACATGTGCAGGTACAGAGCTAATGGAGGCCCATGTGTAAGTCACTGTTTCCAGGCGTGGTGTTCAACAGTTCGGTTAAGTGGATTAAGAGCATGTGCATTCGATTGCACTGCGCATAGCGATGGCTTGCATACGATAAGCTCTCCTGTTGGTCCAGGCACTGCTGATTCACGCATTTGTTTAGCGTATGCACTCCTGCGCTGGTGTTCAGGCATGCGTGTTCAACCTAATTGCGTTGCTTCACGAATTGCACAGGCCTTACGGCCCGTTCTGCCAGCCTCGAGAAAGGAACAGTTTGGGCGCAAGAGGCGGAAGGGGGACGGGGGCAATTGGCAGTGTCGGCTCCAGTGCGAGTGCGAAAGTGTGTTGCCTAGGTCGTGTTCCAAAGGCATGAGGGATCTTGAGGGGGATCTTGGGGAGCTTCGTTCAGGCGATCGCAAACATATGGATCAAGGGGCCGTGGATTAGCGGCGGGTCTCGTTTCCTTGGGTAATCGCGGATCTCCGCCGCCGAGCGAGCGACCGCGCGCCAAATCCATGGATCGCTCATCCATGTCTGCGCGCCCCCGAGGATTGGGAGGCTCCTGGGGGGCCTTTGTGGCCCGCTTGTGGGTGCGCCTTGAGGTCTCCTGGGGCCTCTTTGTGGGCCTCTCGCGGAGGTCGTGGGATCATCTTGGAAGGGCTGGCCTCCAGCGGTCCGACAGTTGCGCTTCTGGGGCCCCCTTGGAGCCGTCGTGGACGCTCTTGCGACCGATTTAGAGAACCCAGCCAGCTTGGGCGTGTTTAGGCCAGCCCCCCCCCCCACGGCCTCCAAGACGACCCGCGAGCTTCCCAACAAGAGTACAGAAGTTGGACGAGGTTGGCACGGGGGGTCGTTGCCGTCTCCATGCAGCTGCGCGCTCAGACTACAGCCCAGTGAAGTATCATCATCGTCGGAACCATCCCCACCCCCACAGGGGCAGGGTTGGGGGGGGGAGGTGAACGAAACGCTGATCCTCCTGTTTCTCCTCCCTTTTCCTCCCTTCTCCCCGTCATATGTAAGGGGCCTCGGGCCTGTCTGGAGTGGCCTCGGAGCGGTCTTGGGACCCTGCAGTCTTGAGGCCGAGAAGGGCTCGGGGGAGATGGAAGTACAGCGTTAGGCAGTGTTTTGCCGATCGGCGCGGGCCCTCGCCCCCCCCCCCCCTCTCCCCCTCCCCATGGAGTAGATCTCAGCTGTTTTGGGCTACTGTTTCGAACAGGTGGAGCCTCCCCCATGACGGACGACGCACTGCTGCAAACAGACGCACTAAGCAAGGGTCTGGAGCCAGACCCCCCCCTCCCCTTCCGCCCAATGTCGAAACGCCGAACAAAAAGAACGCTCACATGAGACACCCGCCTTCCGGCAGGTGCCCCGCAGAAGGCGTCGCATCCCCCGCTGGCCCTGGGGGGCCCGCAGAAGCCTTGGGGCACCAGAGGAAACTCAAGACTGAACGACACAGGTGCCGGAGGATTGGGAATTGAGGATGGAGGATGGATGGAGGAGGAGGAGGAGGAGGATGGAGGATGGAGGATGGAGGATGATTGGATGAGGGGGGGGCGGAATCGAGGGAGGAGGAGGAGGAGGAGGAGGAGGAGGAGAAAATGAGGAGAAAAGGAGGAGGAGGAGGAGGAAGAGGAGACATCTGGAGGAGGCTCAGATCTTTCACAGGAAGGTGTCTGATCGCATGTGCCTGCTGCACGCCCGAGGGTTGTGCTCTGCGGCGTGCTGCTGGCCGGGGGTCGCAGCCCTGAACACACCCGGAGGGCCCCTGACGGGCAGTCCCAGTGTGCGGCGGGGGCGCCGCGGCCCGCCTAGGGCTTGGTTCCCTATCGAGCGTTCCCTCCTCCTCCTCCTCCTCCTCCTCCTCCTCCTCCTCCTCCTTCTCCTCCTCAATTCCTCCTCCTCCGTCTCCTCCTCCTCCTCCTCCTCCCTTTTCCTCCGTCTCCTCCTCCTCCTCCTCCGTAGCCATTTTGGCTCAAGATGCAGGGTTCCTCAGTGGAACAAGTGGATACCGCTAGTCTGCGGCAGACAAGACCCTTGGTGGTCTGGCAGAGATCGTTCATCGCTCCGACGCTCGCGCCCACGGGTAAACGGAGGTCTTTCCCGTTCCTGTGCGTGCAATCGTCCCAGTTGTCATGGGGCTCCCAGATGCTGCTGTTCTGGCCCGATGCGCCCAGGAGATCGAAACTATGCTCACCTTCCCTGATGATGAGCGTGCTGATGGCCATCGGGTCCAAGGCTCGCCCGAGCCCAAGTACCCGCGTACCGAGGAAGGCAAGGGTTCCTCTAGCAGTGGCAAGGGTGTCGCTGGCCTTGCCCCCCGTGCTGCAGCTGTTGGGGCCGCGTTTGTCTTCGGCCGCCATGAGCTGCAAACGGGCACTGCGACTCCTCCTGCTCATGGTGATCCTCCTCCTGCTGCTGGTGTCCGCGCAGGAGATAACTCGTGGTGTTCATCCGCCACTCCTGGCACCCTGGAGTACCCCGACGAGTACATCAAGTCTGTGGTCGCCGACGGCGTCGCATCCCAGTTCAATGAATTACGCACGGAGCTGGAGAATCTTGTCGCCTCGACGGTTGGAGACACGGTCAAAGCCAGCAATGCCAACATCCTTCGCACATTGGAGGTTCTCAAAAAAGCAATTGGAAGAACAACTTGCAGAGCTTGATCAAAAAGCCATGGGAGTATTCAGACCACAACTGGATGAACTCCCGCGGAAGATGCAGCGCCAGATTGATGATGTTTCAAGCAAGGTTGCGACACTCAACATCGAGTTTGACTCACACACGGAGCAGCTGCGCCAGCTGCGTGCGGAGATTGCTGAGCTGCGTGATGGACTGCACATGGCCAAGCGCCAGGAAGCCGCCCCTTCGCCCCCTGCCAGCTTCGACCGCCAGACAGACCCAGCTGTGGTGGTTGCGATGTGCACCAAGATGGTGGGACTTCCGCAAGTCCGTGACATATTGTCGCCGTTCCTTGCTGAGCTCGGTTTCGAAGCTGACCAGTACACTCTCTCTTGCCCGACGCCGACGCCCGCTCGCAGGTTCCTCATTAAGTTCAACGGGGCCACAGGCCTCGCTTCTAAGAAGGTCGCTAAGGTCCTCAGTAATCTTCGCAGCAACGACCAGTGGAGAGTATTCAACGTGCATGCCACTGGCTCTGCCGCTGAGGCCCGCCTACACCTGGGGCCCGACAAGTCCCCTCGCCAGGTCAAGACAGAGATGGTACTTCGCAAAATACGTGGGGCAGATGCTGAGAAGTTTGGTGGGAGGTGGTCTATCGACCGCGAACGTGGCATCCTCAAGAGCGGCTGGACCAATGTGCTCAAGATCCAGGCGAACCCTGAGGACGCCCCGTATGACGTGCAGTCCAATGAGGAAGGCATCTTGGACCTCTCGCTCACGCGTGCTGGCGCGCAGCAGGTGGTGGGCGAGCTCACTGCGCCCCCTGCTCCGACGAAGTGGTGTATTTGACGGCTTCTTGCAGCTCTTCGACACCCCCTCCTGTGGGAACGAGAATGAACCCATGCGATGCACCACTTGGAATGCTCGCGCCCTGTTACAGTACCGAGGAGCAAAGAGTAGACTCAAGTCGTCGCATTTGAAGAAGTTGCACTTGCCCAGGTCTACCCTGGCACTTCAAGAAGTGCACCAAGACCGCCTTCAACTCGAAGACTATATGTGCCGTCTTCATCGCGATGCCGTGGTGCACGCCTCGTTTTGCCCAGCTGATGCCGGGGGATCGGCTGCGGGAGGTGTCGCCACTATTATTCCGAAGCTCGCCTTCGATCTTGATGTTACCAGCAATGCCTCGGCCGTCGTGGAAGGAAGGGTCCTTCGAGTTGACGTCGTCGGGCAAGGGTTCCAGCTGGTGCATTTCAATATCCACAGCCATGGGCTCAGTGCTCGTCAGGTCGACGAGATATGCGCTGAGATCGACGCTGATCGGGTACGCGTGGCTGCTGATCCTCCTCACTATTCGGCGATCGTGCAGGGTGACCTCAACTTTGGCCCTGAGGAGGCCTTGCTCTTCCATCGCCCTGAGCCTGCTCGTGCCTCGGATCCTCGTAATCATCTTGCAATGGCCGCTCGGTGGCTGAGGACGCTGGGCTCACTGCTTGAAATATCGTCTGGGTCGCCGACGCACTACACGAAGGACACCAACTCGGCCAGTTGCCTGGATCGGTTCTTCTGCTCGGTGCCTGGGTGGGTGTTATGTCAGCTATGTGCAGAGTCTTCTACCATTGGTGAGCCAGAAGTGTCATCTCGATCCCTGATATCGGACCATGCTGCCTTGCTAACGGCACTGCGCCAACGTCATGCACGGCCGCGGGCGGAGCAACCCACACCTCGCCATGTATTCGAGATCCATCTTTTTCGGCAACGTATTGAAGGCATGTTCAAGGACGGAGATGGCGCTGAGACGTTGTGCTCTACGTCGGTCTACCAGGGGTACTTCAAGGACATGCTGAAGGAAGCTGCCAGAGAAGTTCGCGACTGGCTATTCATCTCCCATCCTGCTGGAGATGAAACTGCGTTGCTGGTCGCTCGGGGATGCGCCCGTGCTGCGCGGCGGCAGGACTCACGTCTTGCTCGTCGTTTGGTGGCGACATCGGCCACCGCAGCCAGCTTACTTGACATCGAAGGCCCACAAGTTGCTCTTCGACACCCTGAATCGTTCCAAATGTGGACGGACGGAGTCCACATGCGGCTCCTGGAAAAAGAAATACGCGCTGCTGCTGACTCTGCTGCAGGTATTCGCCCGAGTCGCCCGCCCCCCTCGTTTCGTCGTCGCCAGGTGTTGGAACGACAAGCAGCGATCTGGGCCCCTTTCTCTCGGAGGTTGGTGTTGCGCGCTGCGCGGGATGGCCCTCGGTTAGCAGAATCACCTGGGGATCGAGTCGCGGCCCTTACTGAGTACTGGCGCCCTGTCTTCTCGCGATCGGATGTCGACTTGGAAGCTGCTCAGAAATATATCGAACAACAGTGCCCGTCACCTGTGCTCCCCGACGTTCCCCCCCCGTCGAAGGCTGCTATTCGAAATTTTGTCACCCGTGCCCGTCACTCTGCCCCTGGTGTCGACGGGCTACCGTATGCGGTCTGGGCGGCTGCCGACTGCTGCCTGGAAGGATTATGCCTCATGATGGACTGGATCTTGCGTGGCCAGCCCCTGTTCGGCGCGGCCAGCGTCACCCTCCAAGCGTACTTGCCTAAGGGGTCGGAGCATGACGACATGGCCTCTGGAGGCTGCATCAGATCCGCTGATAAGATCAGAGTCCTCGGGCTCCGCAACACCGACTTGAAAATGCTGACGTCTGCCGTGAACCGATCACATAGAGGAGTTGTGAACACCATCGCCCCTCAGTCGCAGCGCGGCTTCGTGCAGGGCCGTAACTTCGGATACGATATCTTAGAGTTAGATGGCTTCAGTCGTACTGCTGGGGCCCATCCGAGGGCTCCGACCTGGTTGCCGCTTCTGGTCTCGTTCGATTTCGGTCCGGCCTTCCCGAGCCTCTCCCAGGAGTTTATGATGCTCTTCCTGGCCCACCTGCGCTCGCCTGCGCCTGCCCTATACTTCCTGGCCTGGTTGTACTCTGCTATCGAAGGGGTTGTGGCCCACAGCGGCCTGCCCCACTCTGTCTACTGGCCGAGGTCTGGGACCATTCAAGGCCGCGGCCTCTCTGGGACGCTTTACGCTCTGAGCACAGCCCCGTTTCTGGTTGACCTGGGATATTCCCTGGAAGATGCTGGACTTGGCCTCGCGAGGGCCTGTGCCGACGATATTGGGGCTGTCTTGTTCGAGGCTCGGGGGCTTCAGGTGCTCTTCCGTGTGATGACAACTACGAGGCACCTCGCGGGGCTCTGCCTTAAGGTCAGCAAATGCAAGGCCGCCCCGTTGCACGCGACGTTCGATCCTGACCTGCTCGCTAGTACACGTGAGCTGCTCTGCCGGTTGGTTCCTGGCTGGCAGGCGTTCGAGATCGCTGCGCACCTGATGTACCTCGGCGTTCTCCTGGGACCAGATGTCACGATACAAATGCAGTGGGGCGCGGCGAGGATGAAACTTAAGCTACGTGCCAGGCTTCTTGGTTCAGGCTCAGCTCCGCTGGGGATCAATGGCGTGCTCTACCGATCGCGGGCGATCCCCGCCCTGTCCTACCTGGCCCAGTTTTATCCTCTGCCTCCCAGGATGGCCACTTTCGAGCTCTCTGTGCTTGCTCAAACGTTCCGTGCTCCCACGGGTACTCTACCTGCCTCTGGCTGGGCCCAGCTGGCCGCCTGGGGAGGCCCAAAAATCCCTCCTTCGTGCAACACTCGTGCGCTGCTGCTCTTACTCGAGCTGCCTCCATCACGTTCGGCGAGCACTCTCACATACGTGCTACTATTTCACTTGCCACACAATCATGGAACTCTGATATCCTGAATGGGCGGTATGATGACGCCTCATTAGCTTCCATCCGACCTCGGCTGGATTGGCTCTGCGATGCGGGGCGACACTGGAAGATGCCACCCATCTTACAAACTTACTCACGGCTGCAAGGGGGATCGGCTCGAGCTGGATATCCATCGGAAGTTCTGCGCTGCTGCACGACGGCGATCTCCACGGAGCTGCCAGTCACTGGGCGAAAGCTCAAGTACCAACGGGCAGCCACAGCTGCGCTCCACGAGCAGTTCGCGACCCCCTACCCGCTCCACGCGATATTTGAGACCAGGCTCGCCCGCTACTTTGACATGTAGGAACCCTTCCTACACCGCGCGCCGTGGGAGGCGAATCGGATACTGCTGCAGTTACTTCCAACGAGCTGGGACTTCCCCGCGATCAAGACATGGGCATCTGCGTGGCTCACAAGTTATCGCATATGTTACCCGTCAGGTCGTCGGCGCTGCATTTTCGGCTGCAGCGCATCTGCAGACAGGCAATGCCATTACGTCCGTTGCCGCCGTCTGCGTCGTGCCGTGGGACATGCTATTGGACGCCCGCCTCCTGCACTTCTACATGAGCGGCTGTGCTTGACTGCGCCGCGTGGGAAGAGTTGAGGAGATTGTAGTCATGTACAATACGTATCACACCATCAGGTATCGCGACTGGGTCTCTCCCTCTGCTCTCCGCTCTGCTGCCCGTGTTGCTGTCAGAACGCTGCGAATGGCGTCGCCAATTGACCAGCTGGATAAGAAGTGGAAGGCGCCGCCCCCGTTCATTCCTGTCCTGCGCTCGATCACGGACGAGCACTCCACTTCTGAGGCCGACGGCCCCGCGGAACGCGAGGCTGGGCAAGATAGTGACGTTGACGCGGATGATGTGGGTAGCGAAGGACTGGCCCGGGTCTTTCACCATGCCTCACGCCGCGGCTGGCGCCGACAGTTCACAGCGATGACGAAGGAACCCGCCGTGAGCCCGCACCCTCGACACCTCTGACAATCATTGCCACACCAGAACGAGTTGACTCTCTCAGCGGCTTAGATGTGATCGATCCTGGCAGAACGCAAAGTCCTGTGCACGGGTGCTCCTCGAGCCCGTTGCGGCAGGCTCAAGCGTCGCCATTGTCGCTGGATGTCGGTGGAATTTCTGGCAGAACGCAAAGTCCTGCGCTCGGGTGCTCCTCGAGCCCGTTGCGGCAGGCTCAGATGTCGCCACTGCCGCTGGACGTTGGTGGAAAATCGGGCAGAACGCAAAGTCCTGCGCACGGGTGCTCCTCGAGCCCGTTGCGTCAGGCTCTGTCGCGATCATTTTCGCTGGACGCTGGTGAAACAGCTGGTCTCTGCACACCTGGGGTGGAGAGAGAGGAATTGGTGCCTAGCCAGAGTACGAAGTGCACCGCGCCTTGCCCGATTACCACCTGGGCGAGGATTGAGCCGACAACGAACGTGGCGTCGCCGAGGTCTATTTCCGTCTGTTTGCCGATGAGGACTACTACACGCTCCTGTTCCGCGCCCCCGTCGATTGAGCCGTCGTCGAGGATAGCCCCGAGCGAGCGCAGAGCTGAAAATAGTCACGAGGCCGCTCGCCCGTATGCTCGCCCATTCTCCCACCCCATCCGCTGCGAGGCCGTCTGCCGCGCTCGCGGTTCCCTCGCTGTCCTATCTACTCGTCCCTCGCTGAGCTCTGCTCCTGCTGCTGCCTGCCCCCCCGCCTGCTCTTCCCCCCACAGCGCCGCATCATCTTCCAAGGTCTTTTGTGTTTTCCTCCCTCTCCCCGTCCTTCGTTCCGTTGAGCTCTGCGTCTGCCGCTGCCTGCCCCCCGCCTGCCCCCTCTCCCACCGAGATGATTCACTTACTGTGGCGTGCTGGCGAATCCCAGCGACTCGTTCCCGCTTCGCCTGCCATTCCCATTCCTCGATCGCCCCGTTCGGGGCGCCCTTCCCCTGAGCTTTCATCGCCCGTTCGCCCGTCCTCGCGCTGCCCCGCGCCTCACGCGCCGAGAGAGCGCGGCCACCGTGCTCGAGTCATCTCATCCGCCGACGCGGAGCTCGCATCAGGCGCGCCGCCCGCCCCCTCGCCACCCGCCGCTGGGGGGTCGGCCTAGGTGGTCGACGCACTCCCGCCTCCTACGCTGGGCTCCTCCTCCTCCTCCTCCTCCTCCTCCTCTTCCTCTTCCTCCTCATCCTCCTCCGTCTCCTCCTCCGTCTCCTCCTCCTCCTCCTCCTCCTCCCTCCTCCTCCTCCTCCGTCTCCTCCTCCTCCTCCTCCTCCTCCTCCTCCTCCTCCTCCTCCTCCTCCTCCTCCCCCTCCTCCTCCTCCTCCTCCTCCTCCGCATCGGGCGAGCGCACCCTGACGGGCGGGTCAGGCGGGCGGACCCTCCCAGGCGGGCCCCCACGGAAGGCACCCAGGAGACTCCACACATTTGGGGAGGGGTCTTTTTCTGACGAGGGCGGCGGTGACATTCATGGCCAAACCTCAACTGGTGTTCCACTGGCTTCCAGACCCTAGATTCGTGATCTTAGGGCCCCGTATCCCGCATCCAACGCCCTCAGGATTTCATCCGGCTTCCAGACCCTGGATTCGTTATCTTAAGATTCCTCATGATTTATCAAATGCCCTCACTGTGTTCGAGCACGCCCCCGCGCGCCAAGCGGCACAGTGTCCGATTCCGAAATTGGCCCCCCCAGGCGTTTTTCTTGTTTCTTGAGTCTCGGTGCCCTCGAAGGCCGGCTCTGCGCAGAGTTCTTGCTCCTATGCGGGACGCTGGCTCAATTTGTCCGGATTTTCGGCGCGCAGTCGATATCTTGAAAACCCCGCGTCGTCCTTGCGGACGGGCCCCGGCACGCTCCACCACAATGGGCCGCTTCACAGATTCTTGGTGGAGGCAGTTCGACACTCCGACGGACGGGTTCGTGGACCCCCATGGCTTCGTGAACCGGCTCCCTCTGAGATTGGAGTCTACCGAGGTGATTGTCCATGGGCTGGTCGACGCCAAAAAGATGTGGGCGGACTTTCCTGGAGAGCCGTACCACCCCATATTGGTCGGCGGCAAGGCGGTGGTGACCATCATGTTCAACAATTCTTCACGCTTCGCGTATCCCCACCAGCCCATTTAGAAACCCTGCCCATGAGAGCTGACGGGAAAAGGGACGAAGAGACACATCTAGAGAAACAAAGCGAGCCACCAGGGTGAACCGAGAGTTCCTGGGAGCAAGTGGGTGGCCTCGGAAGGCCTCTTCGGGCCATCCCTGGGGCCGCGTGGGGGCGAGGTGAAGAGGAGGAGGAGGAGGAGGAGGAGGACGAGGAGGACGAGGAGGACGAGGACGCAGATGAGAACGAGGACGAGGAGGACGAGTACTAGGATGGGGACGACGCGGACGAGGACTCGTGGAACCATCTATAGGTATTCTTGCGGTTGCTGCTGCTGCTGCTGCTGCTGCTCTCTGGGAGTTTTCGGGGCCCTCTTGGTAACCCTCGAAGGCTTCATGGGATCATGTTGGAGGCCATCAATTACAGGATGGGGGGGGTCCCCAACTCAGCTCCCCCCTCAGGAGCCGGCAAACCGCTTCTTGAGGCTCTCTTGGAGCGCTCTTGGGCGCTCTTGGAGCGGTCTTGGGGCCGTTTGGAGCATTTTGGGAGGCAGCTTGGGCTATCTGAGCCATCTTGAAGATCATCTTGGGCTCTCTGAGGCCGCTCGGGGGCCTCTTGGGGGCCTCTCGGGTGCCTCTTGGGGCCCTCTCGGGACCCTCTTGGAGCCCTCTTGGCGCTCTCTTGGGGCTCTCCTGGGAGCTTTGGAGAGCCTCTTGGGGCCATCTTGTAGGTCATCCATCGATCAAAAGGGGGGGGATCCCTTATCTAGGTCCCCCCCCTCGGGGACCACGATCCTCGTGAGGGGTCTCAAAAATTGGCCCTCCCAGGGGCCGAAAAAGCACCCTCTGACCACTCTCGACCACCCCCGTCCAGGTCCAGGGGAGCGGGGAGGGGGAGGGGTAAACCCTTCGCCAAAGGGGAAGAGGGGTTTTTGGAAGAGGACAGAAAGAATATCGTCAGACCACCTGTCGCCCAAAGGGCTGGTGGGATTTCTTGGACACTGACTGCGGCGGAGAGTATTTCGAGACCTGGTACAACTCCTACGTCACACCGAAGGACAAGCCCCAGGTAGAGCTGCCAGCCGACGGGGGGCCAATGGCAGCCCTCCTGCACGAGGGATCCATCAGCTACCTGCAGAGGGTGGTTTGCAGCGACACCCCGCAGAACCCGGGGGCAGCCCTGAAGGCCATCGGCAGCGGCAAGGGCCTCTGGGGCTTCCCGAAGCACCCGGTGCCTGGCTCCATCGACTTGAGATACCAGGAGGAGGGAGGCAAGCGGTGCAGGTTCACCTTCGACGCCGAGCACCGCGGCAAGACCGTCGTGTCCTTGGGTGTGCGCCTGCCCGAGGCAGACGAGGGCGCCATGGAGATCCCGCTCGAGGTCCAGACCGCGCCGGACGCCAACATTGGCGGCCCCGTGTCCGAGGGCATGCAGGTGCGGTACGGAACCGCGGTCAAGTGCACGCAGTTCGTGAAGCCGTGGGACGCGTCGGTGGACAGCATCACGTTTGGCGACGACCCACACTACGGCCTCAAGATCGCGAGCTGGGACTTCGTGCCAGTCTTGAAGGTCCACAGCCCAGACTTCAAGATCTGTGCATTCAAGCCAGTAAACTGGATCTCTGGTGCGGACGCAGCAGCGGCAGCGCAGGAGCACGAGCGCCGTATTGCAGCTGGCGAGTCGAAGGGCGTGCTCTGAGCGGCGGTGCCCATGAAAAGTTGCCCCGCGAATTCTAAAAACTGAGCTGTCCGCCTTTTGCAGCAGAGGACAAGGAGGGGATGGTAGGAGGGTGGGGCCCGGCCACATCAATATTGTTGTTCGCGCAATGTGTACACTTTTGCAGCTCTTAATGTTTGAAGTGCGCGACCGGGTCATCCAGAGCATCTCCGCCGCATTTGTTACGATTAGTTGCGGGGGCTTCTGGTCCTCGGCGTTCACACCAGAATTCCTTGGCGATAGTGTGACGAACATCACTGTATGCTGTTTCTGACAAAGAGTTACGAAAACAAGCCGCAGATCGTCAGATTCGACGCGCATCTGTCGCACACGCAGATGTAACAGTAGCAACAGCAGTAAATCACCGTCGCGCGTGTGGCCCTCGTAGTGCAGCTCGCAGAAGAATAGAGCCCTGTCTAGGGAAACGAGATTCTGGGTAATCAAGGTTTTGTTTCGCTTACGGGGGGATGTTTGGTATTGGCGGGGCTGGCGCCCACAGGGGGGGGGTGGAAGTGGGGGGGAGGGAACAATGCGGCACAGCGCGGCACGAGGTCCCCTTCGGGGCCTCTGCGGTGCCCCGAAGGAGCTCCTTGTGTTCGCAACCCGACAGGCTGCCCCTGTGTAGTGGCTGGCTGGCTGGTCGGCAGCCATTTGTAAGTCTGGCTGATTGGTGGGATGGTTGTGCCCGCGGTTGGCTGGTTGGTTAGGTTTGCACTGGCGCGGTGGACCCCCACGGTTGGCTGGCTAGTTGGTGGGTTGTATATACAAGCGCACAGAATATACACACAGGTATGTATACCGTATAGACCACCCTTCGGGTGATAAGGAGGCGAGGGGGGGGGAGGGACCACCGTCGCACTCGATCGATATCACTATCGATCTCACTATCGATCTCATTATCGATCTCATTATCGATCTCACAGTCGATATGGCTATCAATCTCACAACCGATCTCACAATCGATCTCACTATCGATCTCACATTCGGTCTCACTATCGATCTCACTATTGACATCACAACCGATCTCACAATCGATCGCACATTCGGTCCCAGTATCGATTTCACTATCGATATCACTATCGATCACATTCGATCGATCTCACAATCGATCTCACAATCGATCTCACATTCGGTCTCAGTATCGATCTTACTATCGATATCACAATCGATCTCACAATCGATCTGACTATCGATCTCACTATCGAACTCACTATCGAAGTCATTATCGATCTCTCGTTCGGTCTCACTATCGATCTCACTATCGATATCACAATCAATATCACAATCGATCTCACATTCGGTCTCACTATCGATCTCACTATCGAACTCATTATCGATCTCATTATCGATCTCACAATCGGTCTAACTATCGATATCACTATCGATATCACAATCGATAGTGAGATCATCATCGTCATCACCTCTCACCATCATCATCTCCATCATCATCGGGACACCATCATCATCATCATCGGGACACCATCATCATGATCATTCGCAACATCATCATCATCATCAGCATCACCATCATCAGCATAATCGGGACACCATCATCATCATCATCATCATCATCATCATCAGCACCATCATCATCAGCACCATCATCATCATCATCATCATCATCATCATCATCATCATCGGGACACCGACGGGACACCGACGAAACACCGGCGGGACACCGCGGGCCCCAGCGGGACACCGGCGGGACACCGCGGGGCCCCGGCCGCCCGGAAGGGAATCATTTGGTCCGGCCGCGCCTCAGCCACACGAGACACCAGCGGGACACCGGCGGGACACCGCGGGGCCCCGGCCGCCCGGAAGGGAATCATTTGGTCCGGCCGCGCCTCAGCCACAGGAGACTTTCTCTCGCCCGCCCACGCAGCTTCGCCTCGCCCGCACGGCACGCACGAACACGAAACCGAAATCGATTTCCCGGTAGGGGGGCTCTCCGTTCCACTTCGATCTCACCCCCTCACCTCCGACATGTATGCATATATATATATATATGTATATACGCATATACATATGTATACACATGCATGCATGCATATAAGCAGACACATGCGCAGCATGCGCACCCATATATATATATATATATATATATATATACACATACATACAAGTGTATATAGTTGTGTAAGCATTCACGGATGCACATATATATACGTATGAACAAGTACATGTGTACATCTATACACGCACGTATATTAACGCTTATAAGGTGTAAATGTATATACGTACGTATGTGCTTACAAATGGTGTTTATGAAATAGATTTCGTAGTTGGGGCTCCAGTACTCGAGGCCTTAGTAGGGGCTTGAGTATCAAAGTCCTCAGTATTGGCTTGAGTATTAGAGTCCTCCGTAGGGGCTCCAGCACTAGAGTCCGTAGGAGGTGCTTGTGTATCGCAGTCCTTAGGAGGGGCTGTATTATTGGAGTCCTCACATAGTTGGAGCTTGAGTATTGGTGTCCCGAGTAGGGGGTTGAGTACTAGAGTTCCTTAGTAGGGGCTCGAGCATTAGAGTCCTTAGCAGAAGATTGAGTATCAGAGTCCTTGGTAAGGGCTCCAGTGCTAGAGTCCGTAGTAGGGGCTTGAGTACAAGAGTCCTTCGCGGGGCTTGAGTATTGGAGTCCTCTGCAGGAGCTTGAGTATTGGAGTCCTTCGTAGGGGCTCAATCATTTGAGGTCGTCAGCAGGGGCTTCAGGATTAGAATCCTCGGTAGGGGCTTGAGTATTGGAGTCCTTTGCAGGGGCCAGCGTAGGCTCATGAAACCGCCGACGCCAGCCCGCTGCAGACATGCTCGGAGGTGCAAAAGGACGGCGCCACGGATCTCAGGTGTGCTATACATGGGGTGGCGTTGCGTTGCGCTGCTCTTCACAGACGGAACTTGGAGTGTGCAGCGCCGGCCTGCGCGTCTGCGGAGAGCGAGGGGCGAGCGCGACCCGCGACGGGGGGCACCATGCCGGCCCATGCCAGAGTTGTTCCGCGAGGTCACGGGCAGATAGAATGTAAGAACAATATCGTGTGGCGTTTCTATCGTTTGCCAAGGTGTCGTTGGACTTGTTCGACACCAGTCTTGGTCATGTCGGCGACTACAAAGGGTGTGGTTACGCCGGGGTGTGGTTTGCCATCGGCACCGCCGGGGCCTGGGGGGCACGACTTTCCTCGTCGGGCCTCTTCGGGGCGCGGGAGAGAACTCGATCGAGGTCCCCGCCCGCCCCCCCCCAGGATGACCCCCAGGGTGCCGGTTCTAAGCCACACCCTTTGCAAACCATACCCTTCGGAGTCGCCGATCATGGTCCATGCTGGCCGTCGCCACTTCGCGAGGATGATCTACGAACTTATGGTGACCAAGATGGACGGTGACCAGGCTCGGCATCGACGTTTCTGCACTCAGTCTTGGTAATGGTCTCCCCCTTTTTTTTCCTTTTACAGAAGCCGACGAAGCGGCCCAGGACTGGCACAGGCTCTCCAAGATGACTTCAAGACGGCCGCAAGGTACCGCAAGATCCTCCAAGAGAGGTTTCAAGAGGCCCAGAGAGATGTCCCATAGAGCCCAAGCCAATACAACCGTTTGCCATCGAGGACCCTAGGAAGTAATGTGTTGCATTGAAGACGCGTAATATGCAGGGTGACGTGCGTTATATTGGGTGCACGCTAAGTGGTGCAGTAGTTTTACTTGCGACGCGCGTGGCCATCACTCATGCTCGAGCGAAGCGCCCACCTACCCACCCGCAACCTGTTGGCAAAACGGAACTAGGCCGTGAGTGCAGTTAGCCATCCGAATGTGTTCGCGAATCTCAAGTGGCGCAGTGACAAGCGGACCCTGCGCATGCAAATCCATGATTCGGGCGGGCGAGTGATGATGGTGACGATGATGATGATGATGCTGATGATGATGATGATCATGATCATGATCATGATGATGACGATTGTGGTGGCGGTGGCGATGATGACCAGGGCAACGACATCGACGATGACAATGATGACGACGGTGGTATTGATGATGACGACGACGATGGTCATGATGGTGACGATGGCAGTGATTGCAATGATGGCGCCAGCGATGATGATAACGATGGCGTCGACGAGGATGGTGAGGATGATGAGGAAGCACGCGCGAGCAGGAATTCCTGAGTGATGGCAGGCGGCGCTTCTGAAACGCCATCAGGCTTTCGATTACTGCTGGGCACACCTGTGCTTGACTGCTCAGAAACCCTTGGTGCTGGAAGGATTTGGGCGTGCGCGCGCGGAGGAGGAGGAGGAGGAGGAGAAGGAGGAGGGCGGAGGAGGAGGAGGAGGAGGAAGAGGAGGAGGAGGAGGAGGAGGAGGAAGAGGAGGAGGAGGAGGAGGAGGAGAAGATGAAGAGGAGGAGGAGGAGGAGGGAGGAGGAGGGAGGGAGAGGAGAGGAGGGAGGGAGGAGGAGGAGGAGGAGGAGGAAGGAGGGGAGGAGGAGGAGGGGAAGGGCCCGCGTGCTGTGAGTTGATCGGGCCGACGGGCGCGCGGTGATCGCTGCGCGTGTTTCCGGCGTGGTGCGCGCCTGGGGCCCGCCTGTCGTCACGTGGGGCGTTCCAGGAAGGGCCCTGCCTTAGGTCGGGCGCGTCCTCGATAATCTCCTCCTCCTCCTGCTCCTCCTCCTCCTCCTTCCCATTGTGTGCCTACTGTGATTGTCCTGGCAGGTCGCGCCAGGCCCCTATCGTCAACCCACTCTTACTCCTCAACGGCTGGTTTGGGGCATTCCGAAGCGCCGCCTTTGCAACCCCCTGACATTTGCGACCCGGCGATAAGTCGGGCGTGTCTTTCTACAGGAGGAATATTCAAAGACAGTCAAAAAAATAGTCCGGGGACGATTTGTTGACTATTTGTGGTTTTTGTTTGAATATGTTTCGCATATGTTTTACTTTTCGTCTAAAATCCGCCTGCAGGGGGATACGCCCGACCTAAATTTTCTCCGACGGAAGAACCCCACATAAGAATCCTCT